TTAGCCACAAGGGGAGAAATCCCATAACCGATGTAAGTGAGGCAAAGGCAATGCTAGACAATGCAAGAGCAACATTTTGCTTAATCTGAAAAGTAGAGCAACAATACAAAATGACAATCAGAACACAACAAGCATCTTCAGTAACCATATGAGGAAAAAAGGAAGATACCAGCAAAGTTGTTTGCCGAGATTTAGCCACACAGAATGGAACACCAGAAATATTGTCTTGCAATAACAGGACGTCTGCAACAGCTATAGCTGATGCACTGGCACGTTAAGCTAGAACAATGCCAACAGTAGCAGCAGCAAGAGCAGGGGCATCATTGATACCATCGCCTACCATTATTAGCCCCCCTGCAAAAAAAAGTAAACAAATATTATGTGACAACTGACAAATTATAAACGAATTGAGACATTAAGGCTATGTATTATGTTTGAACCCCGGAAAATGATATGGAAAGGGATAAAATTGCTATGGACTGTTACTTTCTGGTTTTGTGCTGCAATGGAAAATGCAAAGAAAAATGAAATACATATACAATACAATCTTAATTATTTTTCAATAAGTCTATGTTTGTTTAGACTTTAGATTCCTAAGAGGTTTTATGGTGGATCTAAGGTCCACATGGACCTTCACACATATTTTTTTATTTTTAAAAATGCTTATTTCAACACTTGGAAAATGCTTATTTAGCATATATGAAGGTCAACCATGGACCTAAGGTCCATACAATAATTTGCTTAGATTATTTTAGTCTTTATACATGTTTCCGTCCAAATTATGCCCCTAAATTTTCCTTTCATTTTCTTTCTCTGGCATTTTTAAAGCTACAACAACAACCCAATTGAAATCCCACAAGAGTAGGGTCTGGAGAGGGTGTGTGTACGCAGACCTTACTCCTACTCGAAAGTAGAGGCTGTTTCCAAAGAGACCTCCGGCTCATCATTGAAAGTTGCATTGATTAACTAACTACTACCTCATTAATTAAAGAAGCACGACCAAAAAATAGTCCATTCCTGGAGTTACAAACGGACCCTAAATTTTTGGATGTCAAAATCTAAATGCATTTGAAAACCGATAAGTAACTTGTAAGATCCAAAATATCAATGCAAATTTGACTGAGAAGAAATATCACCACATTCTCTTAAAATTATTGTCACAGGATATAGCTTATCCTCGGGTTTAAGGCTACAGTAAACCTCTTTGATGCCTGCAACATTTGCAACTCTCCATGCGCTTGCTTCATGATCGCCTGTTAACATCATTACACGAAGTTCTCCATGGTCTTGTAATGTGCGTATGACATCTGGAACCCAGGTCGAGGCTTATCTTCGAAGTGAAAAAGAGTAACTTATACAAAACTTTTGACCTTAGTTTCGGAAGTCTTTGGGAAGCCAAAGGTTACACAAATAAAGAAGAGTGCTATAAAAAAGAGAGTACAAAGACTAGTGAAAACTATGGGTATACCATTGGTGTCCAACGTTCTTTGGCAAATTTCCTTTCTTGAGGATAGAAAACAAGGAAATAAGATGAATATATTTTCTTATTTTCCTCTCATGTATTGGATTCGAGGAAAATATAAAGCAAGAGAAAAGAAAATTTTCCAAATGGGATTGTTACATACGCTGCATTCAAGTGAATTTGAAATATATTTTTTCCCAAGTCGCATATGCTGTGTGCAACCTCCAAAGTGTCATATTAAGCTGATGACCAAGAAGAAAAATGCCGTAGAAAGTTGAAACTTGAAACCAGAAGCAGAAAATTGAGCTGATGAGAAAGAATAATTTGAAGGAAATATGATGTTAAAATTGTTTCTATTATGATTTATGAATCGTAAAATTTTCCACATAAATTTCAGAATATCTCAAATTTGGAGAGAAAATGAGAAAAGGAAATTAGCTTTTATTTTCCATTCATTCCTTTTTATCTCTTCTTTCCCAAACAAGAAACATAGTTCTCTCATTTTGCTCCTATATTTTATCTTTTCTCAAATGCAATGTAATGGAAAACACTTCACCTTTTTATTGTTAACAGAAAGAGCAGCACGAACAAAATCTACTCCATAAACAGATGTCCTTACAGCCTCCTTTATCTTGCTTGATTCATCTTCAGACGGGTAAAGTGATGTGATATATTCAATAGAACCCAGTGAGGCTTTCATTGGCTTACTGCCTACAAGTCCTGCCTAAAACATAAAATCAAAGGAGCTATAACTCAAATGCCTTCCTGTAGATAAAAAGGATCTTGTGAACCCAAATTAAGCAAAAAAGTATTGATG